TATACTGACATGCACATATGTATAATTATATTATTATTTTAAGTGTGGTTTAAAGTTAAATTATATATAGTTATTGGGTAGAGCCAAGTAACCCAGGTGGATGCAATCAGGCCTCTGTTTTTAGATGGGGTTTGTGGCCATGCTGTAGGCCTGACATTTAAACCATAGACCGTATATATAAAGATTTAAACTAGCTGAAGGGCTTTCTGTTCGAACCACAGTGACATCTAGAGGTTGTTTTGTGCATAACATGTCAACCAAAAAGGTAGAGCTGGCTGAATCAGATGGAGTTCAACTTTTTTTTTTTTCAACAAGATATCAAGACACAAAATGTGCTCTACCAAATGGTGGCGCTGGCAGTTAAAGGGTTACCTTCTGAAAGTGAGGAAGTATGACCAGCTTTGTCCCATAGGATTATACAGGCCAGTCCATTGCTGCTTGTTTAAGGAGTTAACTATTTCCAATATTAAAGTCACTGAAATTGTATTCTATTTTATTCACCTATAGACAAACAACACAACACTCCGTGATGGAGCACGCCCAGAGCTCAACAAATTGGACTCGGACACAATGAAACACTGGCTTGCTTGTATCAAATCAATACAATTCCCACATGCCCTACCCCGGAACCTGCGGTCTTCAGACTCTGGCCCCCCGCACCAACCTGCGATCCTTCGGGGACAGAGCCTTCAGTATGGCAGCCCCCACTCTCTGGAACACTCTCCGTGCGGAGATCTGCAACATCCCCACGCTTGACGCCTTCAAAAGGGCCCTCAAGTCTGCCAAGGTCTTTGGCCCCAAATCTATTTGTGTTGTCTGTCTAACTGTTCGTCTAACTGCCTTTTGTTATGTTTGTTTCTACTCCTGTTCTTTTTAAAGCGACCTTGGGTCTCATGAAAGGCGCTATATAAATCCAAGTTATTATTAATACATCATTGGAACGGTAAGAATCTCAGCTACAACACTGACTAAAGCCTTCCCATCTCCAGTATGCCTACATGACAAGCATTTTTATAATATACAGTAAACATATCTTTGACTTATTAGAGAAGAGACAATCATCAAGCCAGATACCAAGGTATTTACAACAGGCAACCACTTCAATTACTTTTCCTTTATGTTATTGTTATTTGGTTTTTATTAGTGCTTTTGTCGTTTTGAAGGAAATTAAAATACTGTATTGAGTTGGTTTCTTCTGTTTTGGAAGCCTTGTATATCTTTTTGGTCTTGTTAGAAATACCCCATGGTAAAACAGTGTTCTAGCAGCAGTTAAAGAAGCTTAGTTTGCTGTCTTAGACTGCCAGTTGTATTAAGATGGTTTGTTCACAATTTACACATAAAACCTAAATGTTCATCTGTTTATTGTTCTTCTTCCTTTATATTCAAAGCATGTTGATTGTCTATTGGCTATATCTTGACATTATGTTAATTTGATCATACTTGCCATACATTTATTTTAATTTATGCGATTCCTTCAAAGGTTTTGTAATAGACCCCTAGTACTTTTAATTTATAAAGTAATAATAATACATGTGAATGATTGAGCTCATTAGTGGCCTGACTGGCCCTCCTAATTTGTTCCTTAATGACCCCATGATGTGATAATGTATATCTTAAAACCTTTAACAACTATATTTAGATGTTCACAAATATCTACATTTATGTATAAAATACATGTGTAGCAGTTAGACAAACATAATCAATAGATCATCTCATTAATACCTATTTTATATATTAAAAAAAAGTTGACTAAACCACCGTTTGTTGACAAAATGATTTGGGTTGAAAGTTATACTGTTGTGTCTCAAACGGATAGACTAGGTTATTAATTTATTTGCCTAATAGTTGCTTAAAATGCTACAATAACATTTGCAATTCGTTTTTAATCTGCCATGTACGATCTCAATAATAATAAGTGTCGTCAATTCGCTTTTAATCTGCCATGTACGGTAATGTCTCTCAGCCACCGTAGTGTCGTGTCAGGTGGGCGTGTCGTGTAGTGGGCGTGTCGTGTAGTGTCGTGTACTGTCCGTGGCCGCAGCTAGACCATATTGCAAATATGGGCGTTACGAGTCGATTGTGATTTATCAAGGGAAACAGGCGTAGGGAGTGCCGTACGCACTTCCCTCGCCGGTACGCAACGTTTTGTGAATCGGAAAATGGCGGAAAATTTATGTACCTATTTTTGTGCTTTGTACTACGTAAGCAACCTTCCTACGTCAATCCTACGCAAGGCGTTATAAATGAGGCCCCTGGAAGGTATTGAAGCAATATGCTCATTTTTCCATCAAAATATTAATATAAAAATATTTAGAGGGTGAAAATGCAATAAAAAGAGGTGTGTCCTATGCATCAAGTGTAGTTATTTAATTCATAGCTGATTTTGAGTGATTAGGTCACATGACCTGGAAGGTATTGAAGCAATATGCTAGATTTCCCATAAAAATATGAATATAAAAATATTTAAAGTATTAAAATGCAATAAAAAGAGGTGTTTTATACAGCACTGATTTTGAGTCATTAGGTCACATGATCTAGAAGTTATTGAAGAAATATGCAAATGTTTCCATCAAAATATTAATAAAACGTATTTAAAGTATTAAAATGCAATAAAAAGAGGTGTGTTCAACAAATGTATGCTCTAGAGTGAATTTGCTTCACATTCACACGATCGGGAAGCTGTCGATTTATTAAAAAGAACATTTTTCTTGTGTAATTGAAAAGTCTGTTGATGAAAGTGAAAGCCTCGTTTCGCGGAGAAGATCTCCCCGTCGTAATACAGCCAGCAGCAGGGGAAACTGACGCTGCTGGCTGGTCCGCGAATGTCTGTCGAATATTCAACCTAAAACTAACTTCACCACGGTCAATGGAGTAAGAAAAAAACAAGAAGGCTCGGCCAAAATGCCAGACCTTGAAGCTTCAAAACCGTAGTCCAGAAACCAATGGGTGGTGTCGTATTGTATACAGTCTATCTGATACGTTTATTTTTAACTGGTAATGTATTTAAATTGTGTAACATGTGTGAGGAATGATTTAAATGCTAATGTGAAAATGGTTTACATGCTTAGGAAGTAGCTTCTATGTACTTTGTTTAAAATAGAATTTAAAATGATGACAAAGTGTTGGTATTCTGATTCTGATCTGTGATCTACTAGATTGTCTTAATCAAGGGTCCTGAGATCCATTGCTTTTGACTACAACCACATATAAGGATTTGTGGTTTCTCTGTGGGTGTTTCTCAATCGCGAGTAAAGCTGCTGCAGAGCCACTATTTCAAGCATACTACGTCATCGAGTGCCGCCGAAGTACTGTTCCAATCTCCAGCATACTTGGAAATCTACCGAGCCCGGCGTACTCCGTTTGGAGAAATATCGAGGCTGCACATGAGTAGACTCCGCGGTCTTAAAATCCCCACAATGCTTTGCGCACGGACCAATTTCCAAAATCTGTGGCGGAAGATGTAAGGCGGGGGCCTCTCATATGACGCACACCTGCACACTTGCTAGCCTGTTCCACTCTTCGTTTTCCGAATGTCAGGAAGTATTCTTGGCTCGCTTCTGAAGCAAGATGCTCGGCAGACATGTGCTACCAAGCAAGCGTACTCGCGAATGAGAAACACCCAGTATTTCCCTCACTGGAGTAAATGTTTTCGCTGAGGAAACGCCATTTTGAATCTTGATTATTCCTCCCAATATAAAAGGGACATGTACAGTATAGATCCAATAGAGTGGCGAAGTCCCTCCCACTTACTTCCGGGGTATGGGACCTTATTCCGGAAAAGTTATGCATTGAAGTCAATGGGGAGAGAAAACTTATCTTTCGATCCCGTTTGAATTGTGCCATGAATTACACATATGATGTTTGTCAATCTTAAAAAATCATTTCCATGTCAAAAAAGTCACAGTTTGTCGTAAAACTGTTGAAATATAAGACTATGAAAAATACGTAACTAGAAAGACTACAAATCCCAGAGTCGCGTAAGTGATGTCACAATTGTTTACCTCCACCATTCAGATACCTAAGATCAGCGCAATATAGATATAATCTATCTATATGGCGCTGGCTAAGATAAGATAACTTTAACAAGATGCCTGTGTGCTTAGTACCAGGTTGTTATTATACCAGCAATGGGTCTTGCTCGTTCTTTTGCTTCCCGTCTGATGAAACGACCAGGAGTGGCTTGATCAAGTTAGCTACCTAGCTAGTAGCTAGCACGTTAGTTAGCATTACAGCCTTGTCATTTTTATTAGCCTTAACATGAAGTAACATTAAGTAACCCAAAATGTTAAACAGTAAGAGTAGTAGTCATATTTCGTGAACCCTTTGAATAGTACTGTCACCGGTGTGATCATTCTATAATACACCATTTAATTCCGGGGGAGAAATGCTAACGCTAACGTTAGCATCGGCGATCTTTTCTACTTCATGCTATCTGCACAAATGGTTGACATTAAACATTAAAACGACCAGGCAGTTCAGAGAGAATCAAAGGAAGGCAGGCTTTGCATGACATTCTTCAGGACGTGTTTCATTGTGGTGATAGTGAGAGTAGTCAATCGTTTGTTGACAAGACAGTAGTGACGGCCATCTTGGTGACGTGTGTGGTTGACCAGAGATGTAGTTCATTGAGCGTTTCACACAAACAAATGTGTTACTTCACAGTTTTACGACACATTTTAATTTTTTTGACTTGCAAATTATCTTTTAAATTGACAAACATCATATGTGTAATTCGTGGCACAATTCAAACGGGATCGAAAGATAATCTTTCTCTCTCCATTGACTTCAATGCATAACTTTTCCGAAATAAGGTCCCATGGGGCTCAACCGGAAGGGGAGGGACTTCGCCACTCTATGCTGCCTGACAGTGCGCAAATGGCTTTATATAAATCAATCATTTTTATTTTTAATTCACAGAACAGCCATACTTTTATAAATGTCATCAATCCATTCAACACTTTTAGTCTGGAGTTGGAAGACTGAAAAACAAAAGTCACATCTCTGGCCCCACTGGATTATTTATTCTAATTTGTCAACAGATCAACACCATTTTCTGTTGTCACAAAACACCCACACATTTCAGACACATCTGCCAGAGGGATATGCTACAATAATAATTAACAAAGAATTAAGAAACAGTGTCACCATTTCATATTTTATACAAAGGATGTTGATATTTACAGTGTAAAATGTACAAAGTCACAATTTTGTTTATGTTAAAAATGTACTCTTTGCTAATATTTTGTTGCTTTTTTAAAAGTCAAAATATTGATATCATTAATGTCAAAAAGCAAGTTTGCATCCGGCTATAGTCCATATATTTAAATGTGTTTAAGTATGATCCATGGTCCTTGCAGTTTCATATTCTAAGAGCAGTCTTCTCTTCTTCAAGCAAGGTTTGTAATCAGGGTCGCAGTCCATGGAGTCGTCAGCACTACTTGAAGAATAACTGGAATAAAGAATGTTCGGATCAAAGGAACCTTCATCTTCTTCTTCCTCCTCCCCGTCCTCCTCCTCCCTCCTGTTTTCATCATTTCTGCCTCGTACCCCCGGCTCTGACCCTCTGCTGGAGGATCTCCACCCTGTCATTCTGTAGCACTCCTGAGCGCTCAGTCTGCTCAGAGGCACAAAGGGCTGCAGCAGCCTGGACTGCAGCAGCACGGCCTGGCTGTGCAGAGACAACCTCAGCCCGTCTCTCCGGACCCTGCTGCTCTCCACCCTGACCACCGGGGCCTCAGAGGGGGAGGGAGAGGAGACGACAGTGGAATATGATGGTTGAAAATGAATGGTGTTTTGTGCAGGAGGTTTGAAGGAGTTCTGAGGGACAACTGGTTGAGATGATGAAGTAGATAAAGGGAATTTGTAGGAAAGAGTCCCTGAAGGGGACGCAGCGGTAGAAGCATCTTCTGTAGGAGGCAGAGGAACGCTGAGTTCTGGTACGGTCAAACAAGTGTTTTGATTCAATAAACTTGATTCGACCGGCGTCAAATGGGGGGGCAGCTGAGTGTCTCTGGGCGACGGCAGCAGAACTGGATCCGCTGATGATCCCGGTGATGCAGAACTCTGCTCAGGGTTTGCTGGCTGAGAAGCTGTCTGAAGATGGGTGAAGGTCTCTGAAGGTGGTAGTTGTTGGTCAAAGGGGGAGGGGATGAGACCAGAGGGGGTGAAGTCCTGTGATGTAGTGGTGGATGAGGGCGACTGGAACAGTAAAGGAGACAAAGAGACGTTGTCCTGGAGCTCCTCTGAGCACTCCTCAGGACACTGCTGCAGGATGCTCTCCACCCAGCGCCGGTGCTTGGAGCAGAACTGAGGGGAGGGGGGGGCTTCCTGAACGCCTCCTCTGCTGCTCCAACTCATTTCCCTGTCACTGATGTCTTCACCCACCCTCATGACGAACTCAACACTCTCCTCTGTTTGTCGTCTGCTAACATCTGTATCATCTTCATTCTTCAACGACACAGCGCTGTCTTCTTCAGCCCCCCCTCGCTGAAGAACCACTGGAGGGTTCTGAAGGGACGTTTTGGCCTCCATGGACTCGTGGAGATCTTTTGAAGCACTGACATGCAGAACAGACCCTGAGAGTTTGGAGCTTTCCATCCCATTCTTTCCATGTGCTGAGGACTGAGGAATCGTGGCCCGACGACACAAAGCAACATCTAAAGGAACAGAGAGGAAGTGCATAGTGAGTAACAAATATGTCATTATCATCAGAAGATTTGATTAGTTGCTAAATATAAAAGCAATCTTTCTTTGCTAATGCTTCAAAGACAGCATTTTTAAAATACAAGGACAAACAAAGTACAAGTCAGAGTAGATAGATCCAGCCCTATCTTGAATAAGAAGAAATATGTGCACATACAAAGACAATTATTTCAAATAATTTCACTTGAGCTGCCATTTGCTGACGCTTTATGTCTGTATGTTACTGTATATTGATATTTTAAGGGATTATTCAAACAATACTGTGCTTAGAGGTGTCCTAATATTAGAAAATAGGGGATAAGATGCCTTGTTCATTACTTTCATACATCACGACAAATCATGTCATGAAAGACCTCCGATGATTATTTAATACTCAGAATGCAGTTTGATGAAACTGCAGTGCTGTTGAAGGTGAAAAACAAACAATTGAAACAGTAAATAAATAAAGGTAAGACTCTAATTCAAAGCAAAGAGATATGCTCCAGCTCTCCATACATACATGAGTTGATTAGGGGAATAAACATGTACGCTGTTTTTGGAGTTACCACAGTGCAGCAGTTTCTTCAGAGTTGCTGCGATGTTCTTGGAGTCAGAGGTTATCACTTCCAACAGCAGCTTCTCCTCCTCGGTCACAGGGCTTTCTTTCTTCAGAATCTGCCTCACACATTAGAATATGGAAAAAAATCAATCACTGAGTGAAGTATTCCTGATATCAGAGGCGATTCAGGTGAGTCATCCGTGCAGTCCTTAAAGTTCTACTAGCTAGATTGTGATAGTTTGTGACTACTAGAGGCAACACTGCGGAGCAAATTCACAAAGAATCCTTTCCATCAGTGTCGTGTCAAGGTCTGATTCACAAAACTCTAATGACATTAGAGCAAAAACTGTCGAGTTTTGCAGGTCACTGCAATTTGGATTTTTTTGCAGAAAGAAAAAGGGAAATAAATGTATTTTATTATAAAAACCTTTTTTTAATTCTCATATCATTTCAGAAAAAGGACATGGTGTTTTTGTGCCTTATTATTCATTATACCACTGTCCTTTCCACTGTCCCCTCCATGTGAGGTCGGCCCAGACCCTAGGGGTTTTTAAATCTACACTAAAAACACACTTCTTCTCTCTGGCCTTCTAGTTAGAGCGGAGCACGACTCCTGACTTTTCCTTGTGTTTTATTTTTAATTTTGTTTTTTTATATATATCTGTTGTAATTTATTGTCGTTTATTGTGATTGTAGTAATGTGTTTTTATTACATGTACAGCACTTTGGCTCGACCAAAAATCGCTTTTAAATGTGCTATATAAATAAAACCTGATTTGATTTGATTTGATTTGATTTGAATGCTTCCCAAATCAAATCATTCCACCGGCTACAATCACTGCTACCGTGATCACTGGGAAGTCATGGCCACCTTATAAATGTCTTCAGTTACCACCAACTCTCTAAGGACGCTCACTATTTCACTGGTACTGCATCAGGTCATGAGCACATCTTTATGAGTTACACTGTTTTTAGCAATTAGGCACATTTGCACAGAAATGGGCTGATTATACAGGAAACATCGGTATGCTACCCATATGTACGTGCAAATAGCAAACTTATATTCAAAGCGTCCTCTTTGAATTTCTGCACAGCTTTCCACTTTTCGTAACAATACTGCACATATTTTATTTTATTTTATTTTATATTAATATAACGAGTTTTTTGCATATTATACTGTGCGTAGTTTTTTGGTATATCTATATTTAATGTAAATATTTCTCTATATTTAAATGTTATAATAGTTATTTTTGTTATAGTTAAAAAACTTTTGTAGTCCTTTTCTTACAATGTATCTTCTTGAACTGTGTTTACGTCTGCACCACATACACCAATTCCTCGTCTGTGTAAACCTACTTCCCGTTAAACCGGATTCTGATTCTGGTATAGTTATTGCAGGAATGATTGAACTACTTCTTAGATAAGATATTATCCAGGTTTCACGTTTGATAAAACTGAGTGTAAAAAAAATTATCACAACATTTTGTGCATCTCATCTACCAATTCATGTTGAAGAAAACTCTGAACACGGGACCAAACAGCGAGCACACATTGAAGCAGTAGCTGCCATAGAACACACACCTTATCAATGTGTGTGTCTCCTGGTAACACGGTCTCCAGCTGCTGGAGGTAGTGCAGCAGTCTGTCCTCTACTTTCTGAGCGTAGTGTTCTCCGTACTGCTCCTCCATGTGATTCTGAAACAGTGAAACATCCTCAGTCAGACTTTCTACAGGTGGCACGCAGTTCAATACTTTGGCTTTCATTTCATTTCAAAATCTAGAAAGACCTAAAGTTCAAGTATCATTATTAAATGATAAATTGGGTTATGTTATCAAGGCTTGTTTAATGTAGTGCACAGAATAAATCAGTCATGGTGTCCAATTGTTTGTTCACTTTTTGGCAGAGTGGACTTAAATCCTGAGTTCCAGAGGTTTCTAACTCCCCAGCACCATCTAAACCCTCTCTGAAGAACTTTCGAGCATGTTCCCTCAAAGTGTACAGCTTTATTTGATCTGGTTGACCACAAGGAGAAAAGGTGCTGCATTCACCATTCCTCGTGACATCACTTTAGGCTCTTCTGAGTACTTATACAGCTCCATATGTGTATGGTATGCATAGCGTTTATAAACAGTTGCAATCAAAATTATTCAACCCCCATTGCACATTAGATTTATTGGCAAAATAAACAATTTCCCAGCTGTTTGCAATAAACATATTACACAAGAACTGTTTAAGTAGCTCAATTAAACTAATATTACAGGGTGTTTTGTGTTCTGTATTAGGCGCGTTCACACCGGAGTACTTTTCCCACAATAGTTCATCAGAACTACGATATATTTGCGTTCACACCAAAAAGCCCCAGGAACTAAAGTAGTTCAAATTAGTTCATCTGACCTGCTTTTCAGTCCCTGCTAGAGAGCAGGGACTGTCGTGGGAGAAAATAGTTCATACGTCTGATTGGCTGTGCGGAACGCAAACAACGCCCCGTGAATCTCTCGAATCTTTTTTGAAGGCCGCCATTGTATTTGCTCGCATTAAGCTCAGCACAGCCCACCAACGAGTGGATTACTTTTGTGAAAGCAGTTATTATGGCAACACTAAATAAATCATCGGAGCGGTGGAGTGATGAGGATGTGTCGGCGCTTCTGGCGATTTACTTGGAGGACGCGAAGCGCCGCATTCAGAAGCTTCTACTGAATGCAGTTTCCGTGGCTCAGCAAAGTTAGCAGACCTAGCAAAGTCATGACGAAGGTAAACTAAAATACATGCACTGCACTGTTTTAATCTGCACAATACTGGTCTCAGATGTTATCTTTTATTTGCTCAGTAGATCGAGCTAGCCATGCTAGAACTGGCTAACATAGGTCCAAGTTGGCTAACAACATCTAGCTAGCTAGCTAGCTATTCTCAGCCGTGCCCACTATGAACACGTTTTGACTTGTGAATAAGTGTGCAATGTTCTGTAATTTGCTTCACTAACTCATGGCACTAATCGTGTGTTTCAGGCGAGGTGTTTCTCTCTGGATTAGAAACTAGTTTTCCCCTCTGGGATAAAACGATAATATAACGTTAGCAATTAGCATGCTAGCTGGACATAATGCTACCTCTAACAATACATTGTAGTTGCTATAATTTCATCATTTGCAACATTCATTCTACATGTTAATGGTAAAAGCTTAAACAGTTGATTACCTGCATGCCACAAAGACTGATGTTCTAATATTTTGCACATTTAAGTAGAAATGTAATTGAAATTCAATTTATTTTTCCTTTTTTTTTTATTGATTGTTATAATTGTACTCAGCCATGTTATGTTAGATGTCAATCCACTTACACTGTAACTACTCTGGCCTTGAAAGAAGGCTACGCATCTAACTGATGTCCACTAATCCCTATAAAACAAAGTTCAAGCATACATTAAGCACAAAACAATAAATAAGGGCACTTTGATATTTATTTGATATTATTTGATCCTATCTTATCTTCTACTTTACACATGCATTGTGTACACTGTCCCTGCCTGCCCCATGTCCTATGTTGTCTCTGTTGACAACCTACTAGGCGATTAAACTGATCTTGTATCTTGCTTATTTCTCCTTAGGAAAGCGGGCACGGGATGACAGCTTCCTTGACACCATCATGGCGATGGACCGCCGTGCCATGGTCAGCAAGGAGAATGAGGACCTGCGTGCCAAGGAGCTGCACGACGAACGGCTGCTGCATTCACACAAGGCCAAGGAATCGAGGCCCACTGCTTCTGGCAGTGCTAAGCGAGCTGATTAAATCCAACAGGCCTTCAATAAAAAAATAAAGAAAAACTTGTCGTCGTTGATAAACTGTACAATGACTTGTTGGGAGGCGTGTGGTGCAGTGGTCTGGTGCGTTAGTGTTCGGATCAGGGGAGCACAGGTTCAAACCCCACTGCAGTCAGCATGTCGTTGTGTCCCTGGGCAAGACACTTCACCCCAAATTGCCTACACCTGGGACAGTTCATTTTGTATTATTGTGATTATATATATGCCACTGTTATTAATACTGACACTTCACTTTGCACTAAGGTGTGTCTGCTGCTGAGCCTACCTATTGTTATTATATTGTTATTATATATATATATATGTTTTGATACTACTGACACTTTATTTTATATTGAGAATATATCTATTTACATGCATACGACACACCTGGGACAGCGTGATGCTGTTATTGATATTGTCTTGAGTGTGCAATAAAAGAGAACCTACATGGCGATTAAACAGAGCCTGTATCTTACATTTTTCATTACATTTCATGTAACTAAGCTTGCTTATTTCTCCTCTGACACTTTATCTTTACAGTGACCTGTGTAGCATCCTATACATCACATGTAAGTGATTATTCTGATACCATCATGTTTCATCGGTTATAAACTGGCGAAGCTTTATTTATTGTGGCTTTCAAAAAGATAATTTCATTGTATTTCAAAATGGCGTCCAACACAAGCACTATTTATTTATAGAAAGAGAAATGGTTAAGTTTGTTATTACCAGTGTTGTGAGTTCAATATTTTTAATTAATTATAGTAAGGGAACATCTTAGGAGTTAGTGTAGTGAGTTTCAGAGCAGTGTAATAATTATTTGACCTAAAACTAAATGTTTTTATGAACATGGGGATTTGCTAACTTTTGATTTCCCCCATTTTACACGACACAAATGGAGGCCACTATGGGCCACAACTAACACGTAGGTTTCTGTAGGGTTCATGGCAGACGGATGCAGTTGCACTCAGGAGGATATATAATAAAGGTGTGTTAGCTGCTGAGCCTATTTAGTGTGCATACGACACACCTGGCACAGTTTATTCATTTCACACGTAGCGTAGCGCGTGCATGTCGTCGTCCAATCCTTTTGTCAATCCTTCTTAACCGCCTTCGCTTCCGAATCAGCATTGCTATTGCATTTGACTGGTCGACGATCTGTATTTGTGTTTGCTTAAATAACGCAGACGAAGCTCATGTCTGAGGTCGGAAGGTAAACAGACGCCTCATTTACAGCAAGTGGGCGCGGGAGGTTTTTCTTCTTCTTTTTCTCTCGGTTTTTTGGCGGATTGCAACTTTAAGGTGCATACCGCCACCTACTGTACTCGCCGTGAAGTTGTTTGCGGCCTGCCAGTAAACCCAAAGCAGAAGAAGAAGAAGTGACGTCAGCGGCTTCATTTTCCTAATCCACCCCCAGGAACTCATTTTGGTGTGAACGCGATCTGCTTTAGTTCATCAGAACTAAAAGAGCTCTCATGAACTAAAGTTCTCATGAACTATTGTGGGAAAAGTACTTGGTGTGAACGCGCCTATTGTCTCTTTGCACTGCTAATAGCTTTCCGGAGTTCATACCTAGATTTCTTGTACTCATCTGAATCTCCACCTCTGTGTGCGATTGTGCGCGCTTTCAGCTTGGTACGCACCTCGCTGTTTATCCAGGGCTTTTGATTTGGGAATGTTCGTACAGTAACCTTCGGTTCCACGTCATCGATGCATTTCCCAATGTAGCAGATGACCGTGTCCGTGTTTGTGTTGATATTGTTGTCCTCAAACACACTCCACTCAGTAGATTCGAAGCAGTGCTGCAGAGCTGAGTCTGACTCCTCACTCTAGCGCTGTATAGTCCGTGTCACCGGTCTGTCCCGTTTCAGTTTCTGCTTGTCAGCAGGCAGCAGCAGCAGAGAGATGTGCTCTGATTTGCTGAAGGGAGGGCGAGGGAGAGCTTTATATCCATGTTGAAAAGGGGAATAAACATGGTCCAGTGTATTTCCGCCTTTGAGGTGTGCTTGGGATCATTGTCCTGTGGGAAGGTCCAATGACGCCCAAGCTTCAGCTTCCTCACAGACGTTTTTTTCCTAAGATCTCCTGACACTGAATCGTGCCCTGCACACGCTGCAGGTTTCCAGTGTGTGCAGCCCCAGAGCATCACTGAGCCACCGCCATGCTTCACTGGAGGCAGGTTGTTCTTTTCAGCATGTGCTTCATTCTTCTTCCTCCACACATACCGCTGATCCATAGGCCCCAAAAGTTCCAGTTTTGTTTCATCGCTCCACAGAACAGAATTCCAAAACTTCTCTGGCATATTTCTATGGTTTTGAGCATATTAGACCCAAAAAGCAGTCAGTTCAGTCGTGGGGCACGTCTTGGAGTCCGGGCATGGAGCCCTTCAGGGTCTTGCTGCAGGGGTTTTGCAGTCACTCGAGGGTTTTGGACCACTTGCCTCCTCGGTGGCAGTCGCTGATAGCTTCCTCTTTCTGCCACGTCCAGGAAGTGTAGCCACTGTTCCTTTAACTTTGAACTGGCAAACTATGCTTCCACCTGTATCTCTAGGAACATTCTGTGCTTTTGCTATCTTTTTCTTTTCTTTTCCTTGTTTGTGCAACCAATGATCTCTTTGAACTTTTTAGACAATTATTTTGCATGCAATCGAAGGTCACTCAACTAACCCCTAGCCAGTCCAGGGGCCTCATTTATAAAGGGATATACGCTCAAAAAATGGCGTACGCCAGTTTCTACGCAATGTTTGCGATTTATAAAATACTAACTTGACGGGAAAATGTGCGGTCCTCCACGCAAACTCTAACCCATGCGTACGCACTAAGCACAACAACGGGAGAGACGAGAAACTGCGACACCGTTGGCAGAAGGAAGAATGGAGAGAAATATGTGGAAATAAATAAAATGTTACCTCTCATTTATCATATGAAGAATTCATTTTCAAACATTGATTAAAGCCAATCTTAAAATGATTAAACAAACGCCTGTTTGAGACTCCTCAGTGCACACAAAAACATAACTTGGAGAAATAAATAAATACGGATATGTTATTTAAAACCACCTCGAATATGTTGTGTTAATGTTATGAAATGTTTTCTCATAAATGATGCGGTAAGCAGGGGGACAGAATTACGTCTAAACTGACGCCGTTTTGCATTTCTATAGGTTGTAGATACGAGCATGGTTTTATATACTATCACGTTTAATCGTGTTTTATGCCGTTTGCCAAGACTTGATAAGTCGCTCGTAAAACACAGGAGGTATGGAAACTAAGAACACCTATGTGGTAAATTGTACAGCTAATATAACACAACACATTAGTTGTATTTCCTTTAACTGGTGGATTATGGATATATAGTTGCTGATCGACAGCTGGAACACAAACCACCAAATATAACAAAATAATTCAGATCCAGTCGTCATGACTCCACTCCGGAGGGATTCCCCGATCATTTCTTAGAGTTTCTCATCAAGGGGGGGTCTCCTGTCCCCGGGACAAACACACTGCATGAAGAAGGTTATGTGTATTTTTTTTGTCATTAACTTTTTTCGGACCACTTATTTATTTATTTTGGTGACGATCCGACCTCCATGCTGCTACTCTGGTTCAAACTGCATCCACCAAACAATATGATTTATCTCAAGCTCCCCAAAATAACCTAAATCTGACACGGTGTGAGATGTCTTTTTTAGCTGTTCGGTCGTAATTTCCTGCGATCTTCTTCATGCAGTCAGTCAAAATGAATGAATGAATGGGCGTTTCTTTGACTATTTATAGGCAAATATGGGCGTTACGTGAAGCCTGCAAAAGCTGCGCCGCATTTCGAGTCGATTGTGATTTATAAAGGGAAACAGGCGTAGGAAGTGCCGGTACGCACTTCCCTCGCCGGTACGCAATGTTTTGTGAATCGGAAAATGTCGGAAAATTTCTGTACCTATTTTTTTGCTTTGTACTACGTAAGCAACCTTCTCACGTCAATCCTACGCAAGGCGTTATAAATGAGGCCCCAGGTATTTAAGTGTTCTGTCTCAAGCCCACCTGAACTAATGAAGCCCTTGATTAGTTGCACCAGGTGTGCTTGAGACAGGGGGCAGAATCATTTTGAGACTGGAGTAGTCATTACAAATAGCATTTTGTGTTGAATTTGTATTAAAAAAACCTTGTAATATTAGTTTCATTGAACTACTTTCATTGAAATAGTTCTTGTGTAATTTGTTTATTGCAAACAGCTGAGAAATGTATATTTTGCCAATAAACCTAATGTGCAATGGGGGTTGAATAATGTTTGATTGCAACACTATAAATGTGGACCTGCAGCGCCCTCTGCTGGAGGGCGCTGCAGAGAGAAACCTGCTGTGTTTTATTCTCACTGACTACATGCATGATAACTTGAGACAACAGTGACTCAGCATCCTCTCATCATCCATACGACTGTTTTCATCACCCGTTTGATTTATTCCACTTTGAACTGCAAAAGAGAGAGCCAGCAAAAATGTAATTGCACAAGAGTATAATTTACCTTCAGTAAATAATTGACCTTGTATATATTGAACAAACAATATTGAGAAGATGTGGAATAATGTCTTTCTTTTTTTTTTTTAAAGAATAACTGAAGTTCATATATTGGAACATATTAAAATATGAGTCACACTTTCTTTTGTTCTGTAAATACTAAGATGATCTAGAATGTCAATGTCCATGACATTTCAATACAACTCATGATCCCAGGATGAAACATTTGAATGGGTGCTTGATTTTAAAGGTGGGGTAGGTAATTTTGGAGAAACCAGCTTGAGTGTGCTAGAATTAGAAAATACACAACCGGAAAAAATCTGCCACTTCCTTACAGAGCCCCTCCTCCAACACACACGAACGCGCACATGACCAATGAGGGCACGAGATAAGTTTGTGCACAGATGGAAGGCTGACAGGCAGGTAGGCCATCCAGTTATTTTAGCCGGGCCGGCTCAATTTAACTATTTTAACCTGCTTTATTTGGGGGTGGACCTCACCTCCTCTAGGGGGGTCCGGGGGCATGCACCCCTGGGAAGATCTTTTTTAAATGTTGAAGTTAAATGCATCAATCTGGTGCACTTTGAGCACAACATGAATTGATGGATACAGCTCTCAAAACTCAAAGGGAGCTGTATACTTTTCAATAATCCAAACATCTTTAGAATATGATCACAACCAATAACAAATCATTTAAACTTGTTTATTCTTATCTTATGTTACCTAGTTAGCATTCTTTCTTTTTGCTTAACTTCCCGACTGCAACGCTGGTGTGTGTGTGTGTGTGTATGTGTGTGAGCATTTCACATGTGTGTATGAGAGATTTTTACATAATTTATGTCTGTAAATGATTTTGGTTTCAGTTGTGTGTGTGAGCAGGCTCGGATTGGCCATTGGGAGATTCGGGACTTTGGTAGGCCGCTGGCTCTGGCATAGGTGGGCAGTGGACTTTCACAGCGCTGCGGTCCAAAAAATGTATTTAAAAAAAAAAATAATAATAATAATAATCTCCCGTTCATCGCGACCCACCTATCACATATCTGCGCCCCGCCCCACACTTTGAGAAACGCTGCAGTTGGGCAACATTTTGGATAGAAAGCCGATTAGAGAGGTGAGCCAAAAACAGGGCAAATAACACAATTTCACGGCTCTCAGGATACACATTAAACCTGACAAGTTTTACAGCAGCTTAACCCTAATCATGCATCACCTACTGAGGAGAGGTCAGTGTGAGCCGGCTCTTTGAACACACTCGTATCCTCTCATGCACCGGCTGTTACTGTGTTAGACACTGTGTGGAGGGAAACATACCTTAATGTGATCTTCACGTTTGTCCTTGTCCATAGCAAGAGTCTGAGCCAGAGCCTTGAACTCCACATGGTTCTTCCTCATGAGGAACATCTCATGTTGGCTCTGTGCAAGATGCAGGACACAAAACATGGTAAACAAATGTTTTTCATATAAATGTTAGTCAGGCACAGAGCAGCCAGACTTAACTGGACAATGATGTAAAATACATGCTTTTATGATTATTTTAATGAATTAAATGTAACAATTTATTAATGAGACATAATAAATAATAGCTGATTAATAACAATATCCAGACAGTTATTGCTAAATGTTGCCCTCCAATATTTAGGTGAAATAACACTCTCTCACCTCATACATCTAAAATGGCTAATGTTAGCAGCTGTCTGTTTTGTGTTGCTCTACTCACTAATCAGTGAATTGTGCAGCTTTAGATGAAATGGTTGCCTCTGAATGAATACCACACAAGACTGAAATCAACTGAGCAAAAGTAAAAAGTGTTCACAATATATGTTTTAATCCCAGAGCAGATTACACTTACACACTGATCCTGGTACTGAGGGAGTTTACTTGGAAAGAATTTGCTGATTTTACACACAGTTTCAACCATTCCTCGCCTCTCTCTGAGCATCCACATGATGAGCTGGAAGAAGAGACATTCAAAGAGATGGAGATTAACATAAACAACTGGAGATGGATTTCCCTTGCATGTTGAATGATGCGACTCGTCTCTTACCAGGGTCTTGAGGCCGAACATGACCTTCATGTGTTTGATGGGAGCCACCAGGCTGGGGAGAAGTCTGTGTGTGTCTTCCAGAAAGTTCAGCACTCTCTCAAAGTGCTGCATGTCTCTGCTCTTCACGATGGAATAAACCTGAGCAGAGGAAACACGCAGCCTCCACGGGTCCTCCACGCTCAGAGGCTGAGAGCCCACATCCGGCCAAGAGGAGGGGTCCACAACTGTGAGGAACATCAGAATCAGATTCAGAAACAGGTTTGTTACCAGGTTGACACGTACGAGGAATTTGACTTGGTGTCGTGGTGCATACATAAAAGTAAAACAAAAATTAAAAACACAGATAGGGAACTATTTTAAGAAAACTATAATAACATTAAAAAATAATAAAACTATAGCAGTATTTACATTGCGGTGCCCCCACAAATAGAATCAAATTCTGTGGGAAACACTGGTATCACAACACACACAGTCCCACACACACACACACACACACAGTCCCACACACACACACACACACACAGTCCCCCACACACACACACACACACACACACACCACACACACACACACACACCCACACACACAGCACACACAACACCACACACACACACACACACACACACACACACACACACACACACACACACACACACACACACACACACACACACACACACACACACACACACACACACACACACACACACACACACACACACACACACACACACACACACACACACACACACACACACACACACTCCAGAGTTGGGTGTAACGCGTTACTGTAATAATATTACTTTTGTCGGTAACGGAGTAGTGTAACGCGTTTACTTTTATAATTCAGTAATCACACTACAGTTACTAACATTGCCCCGACACGCGTTACTTTGTTACTTTTATAAAATCAGTCATAATCACACTGACAGACAAGAGGGGTTTCCGCCGCAGGTTTATATGTACGTAATCTGCGCGACTTGCACGTCCACATCTCCTGCAGTGCTGCATAAACATGGCTAAGTCAGCGATAACTTTCGAGGGGTGGAGGTATGCCCATTATTTTGAGTTCGTCCGAAGAATAGACAGGAATGTGACGGTGAGGTGCAAACTGTGTCCAGGCCAGAAGCTGTTATCCACTGCTGTAAACACCACGTCAAACCTCAACAAACACCTGCAAAGAACACATGCTAAGCTGTCTTGCAAGCTTGTTGTGGTAGGCTGGTAGCCTATTTGATTAAAGAGCATATAAAAAGAAAGACTTGTGTTATGTCTTCCTTATTGTAATAGTAATTGGGGGTGCAGGTGGAGTCTCGCAGAGGCAAAACTGTGGCGCGCTTACACTGTAGGTGCACCGCAGTCTGCGTGATCTGCCTGTAGGGAGGGGCGGGCCGGCCCTGCGAGTAAAGTAACGAGTTACTTTATGTAGAGAGTAACGAAGTAGTGTAATATATTACTTTTTTAAAAAAAAGTAATATATTACTATATTACTTTTATTTAGTAACGACCCCATCTCTGACAGTCTCACACACACAATCTCACACAATCTCACACAGTCTCACAGTCTCACAGTCTCACACACACACACACACACACACACACACACACACACACACACACACACACACACACACACAACACACACACACCAGCACACACACACACACACACACACACACACACACACACACACACACACACACACACACACACACACACACACACACACACACACACACACTACACACACACACACACACACACACACACACACACACACACAATGTATATATATATATATATAGTTACTTTTTAATCACTGAATGCATCATTGATCTGTTTTTATTTATTTATTTATTTTATTGCTTTTTATTAATTTTGTTCATGCTCACTGCTTGTAGCACTTCGGGATTTGAAATCAAATATGAAGTGCTTTATAAATGGAACCCATTATTATTATTATTATGATCTTTTGATAAATCAACAAAACACATACTACATCTACTACAAACAATCATCACCATATCTGAACGTCTTTGTTTGATTTGCATCTGCATTTATGCTACATATACGAACGGTTGATATCATTTTAATGGTACAAAACGATACGGAACAAGCCCTATACAGTCAAAGCGTTGAGGTAACAGGAGAACAGAGGCCAGAGGCCTGTACTACGAAGCCAGATTTTCTCTTAGCCGGCTGACTTCAGGGAAAACTCGGGCTTTCCGGTCCTACGACGCTGGTTCTCTTTTTAGCAGGCTAGATCTCCATGGTAACTTATGCTGGACGGCTAACCTCCTCGGGAGGAGGTTAGGTTGCAGGCTAAGAGATCAACTCAGTGAAAGCACCGCCTGCTGACCAATCAGAGCTCCGTGTGCGGAGTTTAAAGCGATCAAGTCATATTACAGGATAGAGGAAATACAGAAAAACTGCCGTTGCAGGAAAGACGGCCGGCCAAAATCAACTGACTGTGTGAACGTGAAAATGAATAGAATATCCCCTCCCATCTTCAGAGCAATCTGACTATTATAACATTAGCGTTAAGAAAGCTTACTTAAATATCTGCCACAACATAAGTAACCGGATCAGAGTAACATTAAGTACAGTCCGCGGCACTGTGAGTGCAGACGTCGATGTGTCCCATTATCATTCATATCATATCACATCATAATGTATCATATATTTCCTTATCTGAGTCAGCTGAGCCGTATCTGGCCGTGCAACACTCACAGTGTCACATACTGTATGCAGAAGTATTATTTTAAGCAACACATTAAGTTGACGAAACACTCGAGTCAAATGTAATTAAAGTCAGATCGTGTCTTGGACGGGGCAGTGATTTCATAAACCTGTTAATGTACGCATTCAAACGCTTTTTCTTTTACCAGCTGTATTCACCTTGCAGGTGCAGCTATGTGGCTTTGATCCTGGATAAAGTGTTTAAGTCATGGATGTTTAAAGTTTAACTTCTTCATATTTGACTAATATTAAAGTTCACTTTTCATTCAGGAAGTATGACGCTGCGCTGTCAGTACGCTTGTCCATGTTTGTGATTGGTAGAATGCTCCAAATACCTCCCCTTTCATGTGAACGCGCACCTAACTAGATAGGACACGGCTGGCTTGAGCGATCCACTTGATAACCAGCGTCGTAGTACAGTTTAGCCAGAGCGCGTATGTTTTGGATTAGGCCAACCGGCTAACTCAAACATATCCAGGTTAGGAAAATCCGGCTTCGTAGTACAGGCCTCCGGTCTGTTGAATTATGAAATGTAATATATGAATTTGTTTATTTAATACTCTTATACTAATCACTTCCTGTATTCCCGTGATAAAAGGGACATGCGCAATAAAACGTGTCACTTCCGGTTGAAGCACAGCGTGCTTCAGGTGTATGTGTGTATTTATTCCTCTGTCACGTTAAACTATGTTCACGGTATTCCTGCCCTAAGATCATGGCATCGCTAACAGGTTATGGGCCCAGGAGGGACCATGGAAGCCGGTGGAACCGTTTGTGTTTCGACGGAGATGAGAAGAACTACGAGTTATGGGAGACAACGTTTTTGGGTCACCTGCGACTGCTAGGATTGAAGGCTGCCATCCTAGAGGAGCCAGGTGAAGAGGATGAGGCTGATGATCAGAAAAACGAAGAAGCCTATGCGGAATTGATCCAGGTACTGGACGATAAAAGCCTTTCACTGATCATGAGAGAAGCAGCGGACAACGGAAGAAAAGCGTTACAAATATTGAGGGACCACTACGCTGGGAAAGGGAAACCACGGGTGATCAGCCTCTACACTGAACTAACGTCGCTGCAGAAAGCCGCTAATGAGAGCGTCACTGACTATTATTCGTGCCGAAACGGCAATTACAGCACTGAGAAATGCTGAAGAGACTCTTAGCGACGGGCTGCTGATAGCCATGATTTTAAAGGGACTGCCAATCTGTTTTAGGCCGTTTGCCATCCACATTACACAAGGGGATGAGAAGCTAACTTTTGGTGAGTTCAAAACAAAGTTGAGGAGCTATGAAAGCACCGAAAAATACAATGCCAACTTGAGTGAGGAATCTGATCATATTATGAAAGCGAGTGGCTGGGTGAAGTGGAGAGATGGCCCCAATATCACCTGCTACAACTGCGGTCAGAAAGGGCACCGGGCTCGTGAGTGTCGAAGTGCGAGTAGCAGCAACAACAAAGACCAGAGACAGTGGTGCAGTTTTTGCAAAGATTCCACACATATAGATGCAAACTGCAGACGCAAAGAGAGAGACAATGCTAAACAAGCAACTGACGTTGAGGACCACTCATTTGTTTTTAAAGTACGTGACAGTCCAGTAACCGGAGTTACACATAAAGGGCTGATGGTCGACACCGGAGCAACGTCACACATAATAACGAACATCGACAAGTTTAAAAGGTTTGATGAGACTTTTCAACCGAAAGACCACTTTGTTGAATTGGCTGACGGGACAAGAACAAGTGGTGTCGCTTTGAAGAAAGGAGAGGCGGAGGTCTGCCTGCAAGACACGGAGGGACGACGAGTGACAGCGATGCTGAAGGACGCGCTCTACATACGGTCCTATCCACAAGACATTTTCTCTGTTAAAGCAGCGACAGCCAACGGAGCATCAGTGAACTTTCGTCAGGGTTGTAACCAGCTGATTCACCAGAGAGGTAAAATATTTGACATCAAGGAATATGAGACTTCATTTTGTAAACACTGTGGACTGTGAAGCTGAGGACGATGCATGTTATGGATGTTATGACATTCAAACATGGCACGAAATACATGGTCACTGTAACTATGATGATGTGTCACAACTGGAAAAAGTCACTGAGGGGATGAAAATGAAGGGTGGGATTGATAAATCTAACCTTAACTGTGAAGTGTGTACTCGAGGTAAATTTGCTCAGAGTAGGAACAGACAACCAGATGCAAGAGCTAAAGCAGCGCTTAATCTTGTGCACACTGATTTAGCAGGTCCCATTGAGCCAGAGGCTAAGGAGGGATTCAGATACACATTGGCTTTTACAGATGACTTTTCAGGGGCAGTATTTGTGTATTTCCTAAAAGCTAAAAGTGATACTTTCAAAGCCACAGAGAAATTCATTGCTGATGTCGCACCTTATGGTAAAATCAAATGTATAAGGTCTGATAACGGTACAGAATTCACCGGGACAAACTTTCAATCGCTCCTTAGACAACATGCAATACGACATGAAACTTCAGCACCTTACTCACCCCATCAAAATGGGACAGCTGAGAGAAACTGGAGAACACTTTTTGAAATGGCAAGATGCATGCTTCTTGAGAGAAATTTACCAAAGAAGCTATGGACATATGCCGTCATGACTGCAGCTGTAATACGTAACAGATGTTACAACAGACGTGTAGGACAGACGCCTTATTATATGCTGACAGGACGTAAGCCGAACCTCTCGAAAATGAATATATTTGGATCTGTATGATATGCATACAAGCAGGAAAAGAAAAAGTTAGACTCGAGGTGTGAGAAGGGTATTTTTGTAGGGTATGATAAAAACAGCCCAGCATACCTAGTCTACAACCCAGACACTGGTAGTGTTCGAAAACACAGGCAAGTGAAGTTTGTCACAAAAAGTATAGTCGAGCGACATACACAGACTGATTTTGAGGCAAGTGATGACGATTTATATGAGAAAATGTTTGTATCCACCAAGCCAGAAACCCAGGGGACTGACTCGTGTCCAAAAGAGACACAGGAGGCTCGAACTGAGACAGATGACACAAACACTCAGACAGGAAAGGGAGCAGAAGGTCAAAATAGAAGCTATCCCCAAAGAGAAAGGAGGAGACCTCAGTATTTAGAGGACTATGAATGTAAAGTACAGTGTGACGATCAGAAGTTTGTAAATATTGACTACTGCTACAGAGTAATGTGTAATGTACCAAACACCTTTAAAGAGGCCATGAATTCAGCAGAGTCAAAACTCTGGACTGATGCTATGCAGGAGGAAATTAATTCTCTTAAGGAAAATGACACATTTACATTGACCACACTACCAGAGGGCAAAAATGCAGTGGGGGGTAGATGGGTCTATACAATCAAAGAAAACACAGAAAAGACTGAGATATATAAAGCCAGATATGTTGCAAAGGGATATAGTCAAGTGGCAGGAATAGACTATAAGGAGACATTTTCCCCGACTGCAAACATGACATCAGTACGAAGCTTGATGCAACTGGCAGCTCAACATGACTTACACCTACATCAGATGGATGTTAAAACTGCATATTTACACGCTCCAATTGATTGTGAGCTCTATGTACAGCAACCTGAAGGTTATGAGGTCAAGTCAGACACAGATGAAAAGCTAGTCTGCAAGCTGAATAAATCACTGTATGGGTTAAAACAATCTGGAAGAAACTGGAAGAAAATGTTGCATGATCATCTCTGTGAGAACGGTTTTGCACAAAACCCAGCTGATCACTGTGTCTACAGTAAAGGAATAGAAAATGAGAGGATCATTCTGATTATTTGGGTGGATGACTTAGTTATCGCAGCTAATGATATTCACACAATTAATACTGTGAAAGAAATGTTGAGCACAAAATTCAAAATGAAGGATCTTGGGAAACTTAAACATTTCCTAGGCATTGACTTTACTCAGGAAAAAGGAGAAATAAAGATGGGTCAAAAGAAATTCATTGCAAAAATAGTGGAAAAGTTTGGTATGAATGACTGTAAGCCAAGGTCCACCCCGTGTGAACAGAAACAACACTTTGATGATGATGGTGAAGCTGTTGATGCAACACAATATCGTGAAGTGGTAGGCAGCTTAATATATTTAATGACATCTCCACGGCCTGATCTAAGTTGGATAGTCAGTAAACTGTCACAGTATTTTTCAGAGCCAAAAGAACAACACTGGTTAACTGCTAAACATGTATTGAGGTACTTAAAGGGCACAATTAATCAGGAGCTATGTTTTAAACAACAAGATGAAAAACTGAAACTTGTTGCATACTGTGATGCGGATTGGGCAACAGATCAAAATGACAGACGGAGTATAACAGGGTACTGTTTTAGTCTAACTAGCAATGGGCCTGTTATTTCTTGGAGATCAAAGAAACAGCAAACAGTAGCTTTGTCGACATGTGAGGCAGAGTACATGGCACTGGCTGCCACCGCACAAGAGAGTTTGTATCTTGTGCAGCTAATAGAGAGCATGGACAGTGAGGGTCAATATACTCCTGTGAACATCTTTGAAGATAACCAGGGTGCAATTGCTCTATCCAAGAACCCAGTATGTCGTCAACGATGTAAACATGTGGATATCAAGTATCATTTTGTTCCAACTGTACTGAGTGATAACATGATAACCATTGACTATTGCCCTACAGCGGATATGGTTGCTGATATTTTCACTAAGCCTGCAACAAAGGTCAAAAGTGAGACATTTGTAAAGTATTTGTTTGGAATGTAAATAACCCCAGAAGTTTCAAACACTGTGTTATTGTGAAGGTGTATAAGGTGTTTACATTTGAATTCATGTTGAGAAATTGTGCAGTATAAGAGTAAGTGGGGGTGTTGAATTATGAAATGTAATATATGAATTTGTTTATTTAATACTCTTATACTAATCACTTCCTGTATTCCCGTGATAAAAGGGACATGCGCAATAAAACGTGTCACTTCCGGTTGAAGCAAAGCTGATGGTGTATGTGTGTATTTATTCCTCTGTCACGTTAAACTATGTTCACGGTATTCCTGCCCTAAAATCATGGCATCGTTAACATGGTCAAACTAACCTTGCTGTATGTCCATCATCCTGTGAGCCCAGACAAACTCTATGATCCACAGCGGTCCTCTGGGGCAGGTCAGTGAACATGGATCTCTTCCTTCCATCAGTGAACATGGAGCTCTTCCTTCCATCAGTGAACATGGACCTCTTCAATCCATCAGTGAACATGGAGCTCTTCCTTCCATCAGTGAACATGGACCTCTTCAATCCATCAGTGAACATGGACCTCTTCAATCCATCAGTGAACATGGAGCTCTTCCTTCCATCAGTGAACATGGACCTCTTCAATCCATCAGTAAACATGGATCTCCTCCTTCCATCGGAGGCTCAGCGAAAGAGCGGCCGACTGCTCCTCTTTAACCCCCTTCATGAATGGGCTGCTCCCACCCCCCGAGCTGGACCTCAGGACATGTAGCGGCAAGTCTACGATGTGAAGGATGTATAATAAGTGTGAAGTTGTGAACGTCCCGGTTCTGCGACTGTTTGCATATCGTTCCGTTTTTGAAAACATTACAAATGACTTCCTTGTCAATCTCACTGGCAGTCAAAATAAAGGTTCGTAAATAAACAGTTCTATACGATAAGGTTGTGATACAACATGTATACTTTTATTTTGAAGTTTGCTGTTCTGTTGCTGACCCGGAAGTAGTTAAACCGCGCTGTGAACATCTCTTTCCCTGCTTTCATCTTCAGCTCTGAATATGTGCTGCTTTTTAGTCAGTATGGAAGCCTAACACTTTGTAAGGTAACGAACATATGCAAGTATTCTAATGTGCAACTAATGTGCTCGGCTTGTATAATGAGTAGTGTGTCGCAAATACTAACATTGTAGCTTGTGTCTGGTTGTAGCGGTCAAAGGGGCGCGCATGATTCATTGCACCTGCGTACACCTTCGGCAGTGTTTGACGTGCTGCGAAGATGAAGCGTTATCTGTAGAACGGAATAAACGTCAATCAACACACCACATACAGTGCTAAACCTTTGTGCTAAACCCCGTTGGTAGTAGACAGTGTGGAACTCCATTGTGTTTGTGTTTTATCTAAAAAGGCCTATACCATCTGTCAAATTTGAAATATGTTATATTTTCACACCTTTGAGTAATTGAATCAATAATGAAAGTACAAAACGTTTAGATGAAACTACACCCTGGTTGAGGTTCATCATACTGACATACTTATGCTCTGGACCTTCTTCAGGGTTTGTGCAAACCCTTTAGTTCTAAGTAAATGAAAGGATAATGCTACAGGATGCAATAATATTTAGCACAGTAGTGTAATTGCAACTGTCAACAGTTTGGAAATGTCCTTCTCCTGTTTCAACAACACATTGACTTTGTCCACACGCCAGGCCATGGAGAAATGCTTTTCTAAGATTGTCATGAGATCATTCTGGAGATATCACCCCAGCCCACCCATACCGCTGTGAGGCTGTTCTAACAGCAGATCAAGGCTTATTGTTTAGGAATAATGGGTTCTACATTCACTTATAGCTGTTTTATTTGTCTGCCCATATACTTTGGAATATTTGGTGTATCAAAGTTTGGTCCTGAATATAAACTCCTCTTGTCATCAAAACTCATAGATCTCATAAAAAAATGGCACTATGTCTTAATGACAACCAAATTATTTGTTCTTGTTTTATGTTTTCCTACAGCACTGTATCACCCACCCCCCTTCATGTGAAACGTCATCCCAGCTGCAGCCTCTCCATGAACACCACATCATGTGTGTTTCTGCTCCAACTGTCCAGGAGGGGGTTCAGGCTTTGTGCGTCCAAAGCCCCCCGCTGCAGTTCCGGGGCCCCGAGGTTAACAACAATGACTTCCTCTTGGCGTCCACATATGTCCCCCCCCCTCTCACGTCTCTTGCAGCCGCTCTCACTCCAGCAGCATCAAGGTGCGCCCCTATCTCCAGTACATGAAGCGCAAGATCATAGCCCCCCCTTGTCCTCCATACAGTCACGTGTGCCAGGTGGGGGACCCGGTGCTGCGTTCACATGCAGCTGCTGTGGACCCTGCAGCTGTACCCGGCGCTGAGGTCCAGCAGGTCATCAGGACTCTGGTGAAGGTAATGCGGAGACTGGAGTGTGTGGGGATGAGCGCGCCTCAGATCGGTGTGCCCCTCCGCATCCTGGCCCTGGAGTACCCCGAGCAGATGTTGAAGGACAGTTCCCCCTCATCCAGGGAGGCCCGGGGTATCTCCGTCCAGCCGCTGAGGGTCTTTGTCAACCCCACGCTGAGGGTCCTGGATGGACGCACGACGCTCTTTCAGGAGGCCTGTGAGAGCCTCTCAGGCTTCTCTGCCACCGTGCCTCGCTACCTGTCTGTGGAAGTCTCCGGTACGCATGTTTCACTGATCTGTGAAGTTAGATACTGTAGATCCGGGGGGTCCAAACTTTTTTCACTGAGGGCCACTTACAGAAAAATAAACGAAGGGCTGGGCCCCTCACTAAAGGTGAGGTATAATGCCTCGTAAGTTAAGTCATGAGTTAGCAAAATCAATCAAATATAGCTAAATTATGGTTGATAATTGAATATATGAAAAAAATATGTATTGAACACGTCACCAGTTTTCTCAGTAAATATATTTCTAAAGGTGCTATTGACATGAAATGTTCACCAGATGTTGGTAACAACCCATGCAATCCACACATACAAAGACATCAAAACAAATACGTTCATAAATTAAGTTAGGTGTAATAAAATGGAATGACACAGGGAAAAAGTATCAAACACGCTTACTGAAATATATGTAATACTTCGTACAAAAGCCTTTGTTGTAATGGCAGCTTCAAGACGCCTCCTGTATGGAGAAACTCGTCTCACGCATTGCTCAGGTGGGATTTTGGCCCATTCTTTCACACAGTCTTCAAATGAAGGTTCCGTGGGCCTCTTCTATGAACTCTCTTTAGTTCTTTCCATAGATTTTCTATTGGATTCCAGTCAGGTGATTGGCTGGGCCGTTCTAGCAGCTTTACTTTTTTTCTCTGAAACCAAATGAGAGTTTCGTTGTCTGTGTGTTTGAGATCATCGTCTTGCTGAAATGTCCACCCTCGCTCGTCTTCATCCTCCTGGTAGATGGCAGCAGATTTTTATCAAGAATCTGTTGGTACATTTTTCCATTCTCCGCCCTATGCTGAAAAACAGCCCCCCACCACGATGTTCCCACCTCCAAACTTCTCCGTTGGTATGGTGCTTTTGGGGTGATGTGCAGTGCCATTTGACCTCCAAACATGGTGTGTTTTATGGCATCCAAAGAGTTCAGTTTTGGACTCATCTGGCCAGACTATATTCTCCCAGTATTTCACAGGCTCGTCTAAATGTTGAGCAGCAAACTTTAAACGAGCTTCAACATGCTTTCTCTTCATCAATGGAGTCTTGTGTGGTGAGCGTGCATACAGGCCATGGTGGTGAGTGCATTACTTATTGTTCTCTTTGAAACAATTGTACCTGCTAATTCCAGGTCTTTCTGAAGCTCTCCACAAGTGCTCCTTGGCTCTTGGACAACTCTTCTGATAATTATTTTCACTCCTCTGTCAGAAACCTTGCGAGGAGCACCTGGTCGTGGATGGTTTATGGTGAAATGATGTTCTTTCCACTTCCGGATTATGGCCCCAACAGTGCTGTCTGGAACATTCAGAAGTTCCGAAATCCTTCTGTAACCAATGCCATCAGTGTGTTTTGCAATAAGCTTGCGAAGGTCTTGAGAGCGCTCTTTGCTTTTCCCCACCATGAGAGCTTTCTTGTGTGACTTCTTTTTATAGGCCATCAGTTGGGACTGAACCAGCTGATATTAATTTGCCTCTTCAAGGGACAGGATTGCTTTCTGATTACTGATAGATTTCAGCTGGTGTCTTGGCTTTCCATGCCTTTTTGCACCTCCCTTTCTTCATGTGTTCAATACTTTTTCCCTGTGTCATTCCATTTTATTACACGTAACTCAATTTATAGACATCTATGGTTTTATTTATTTGCATGGGTTGTTACCGACACCTGGGGAAAATGTCATGTCAATAGCACTTCAGAAATATATTCACTGAGAAAAATGGTGACGTGTTCAATACTTTTCCCCCCCCGCTGTATATATGATAGTTTATTAATTATTGTTGTGTAAAGAAGTAGTTGTGCAAAATGAAAAAAAAACATAACATAATTTTATTTTTTTATCTTACTAAAATAAAAAAGTATTAACATTAATATATACTTAAAGTCCCAAAAGTAAACATTTTGTAGAATTGACAGCTATTAATAATCTAAATCTGCAATGTAACTAGTGACTCATTGTTTAAAATGAATGTAGTAGAGATATACAGATACATAAAGTGTTAATGCGGATGCTGAACTTCACTGCATGCATGAAGGGGAAAACATTCATTTTTCTTTAATTAGGGTACTGTAACATCAGAATGCTTGCTAATGCTTTCTTCCCCTCCCCCTGCAGGTCTGGATGAGAGGGGGGGGGGCGGTGACGTGGCAGGCCAGCGGCTGGCCGGCTCGGATCCTCCAGCACGAGATGGACCACCTGGAGGGGGTCCTCTACATCGACCGCATGGACAGCAAGACCTTCATCAACATCCACTGGCAGGAACACAACGAGTAGAAGATCCTCAGGACACAAACACTGTGTGGAGCTGAAGACGTGCAGTGATTTGATCTGATTCTCCATCATCTGTGTTGCTGTGTCTGCGCCATCTTTCATGTGAACAATGTCCTGACATACAGAATGTGGTACAACCTGGATTCTGTTTGTGATTGGATTAAGAGCTCAAAGTCAATATCAATGACCTTAACCACTGTTTGTGTTGCTAGAAGCTGCCGGACAGAAACAGCAATGATCGTGCAGATTATCACTTTAGGAAGAGAGTCATGTTGTGTGGACCTCTGGTCCATTTGATGAATAAAGAGGCCAATATGTTCGGAATAAAATGAGTGAATGTCTGCTCACATTGCAATGAATAAATAAAACAATTGGCAAAAAACAGATAAAAAAAGAACAAAGGATATTGTTAGAGCCAGTATTTAGATTTTATAAGAAAGGCCACCTAATTGTGACGTCTGTAGTCAACGCACTATAAAGGACTACAATTCCCACGGCGCCTGTGCTAAAGCCACAGTGATGGGCAACCTGTTGAGAGACGCCGTCGAGGAACAGTTTTTAACCGTACACGTACACGTACACGTACACGTACATACAAATCGTACAAGTACCCTTTAAGTTATGAAGTTATAAGCATTATCAAGAAAGAAAGAATACCTAAGTTGTTTGTTATTTTATTTGAGTTTTGCCTATTTCTTTTGAATATCGTAAAGGCCTATTTTCTTTGTTGCATGTGCAAAAGTTTGTTATTTTATTTTGAGCAAACACATCGCAACCAGAGTTCCCGTTAGCCGGTAATTACCGGACTATGACCGGTAAAATATGCTGAAGACCGGTAAATCTAAATCTCTCCGGTCAAAATGTCCGGTCAAAATAATTTCCCCTTTAGCGCAATACCGCTTCAGTTGCGCCACTTATGTGACAGACAAGAAGAGTATGTGACAGACAAGAATAGTCAATTATAATGTCTAACACTTACGGAGCGTCCACACAGCAGCGTTAAAAAAATCTTGGAGGTGGGCTGAAGCTTGGGGATTTTTTGCGAGCAACGCGACGAAAAAAAAGCCCGAAGTAAACTGGATATAAACTCCCCAAACAGGCGAAAACATACCACTGTCTCTGCCACCTCCCTCCATGCCTGGCTCCTCCGGTTTATATCCCGGTAGGTAAATAGGGACTGGTCATAAAGCACCGGGTGATTCCCTACCGCTAATTTCTGCGGTATGTCTCTCCCAGCATACACGCGGTTTGATTGGCTAGCGCTTGAACTGTCAGATTTGCATAAACGGGATTTGATTGGCTGACGCTTCCACCTCAGCTTCAAAAGTTGAACATTGCTCAACTTTTGAATCCTGAAAATCCTGAAAATCTCAGCTCTGCTGCCCACAATGCAGTTCGGCGAAAAGTGAGGCAAAGTGACGTCACCCCATTCAAAGTGAATGGGCAGAAGCATTGGAAGATTTTTTTAACGCTGCTGTGTGGACGGGCCGTTAGGCCCAATCCCAAACCACTCCCTCGACCCTACCCCTCCGGGACGGAGTGAACTCCGTCTGTAGCCACACTCGCAGCTGAATGAAGTTCCCTCCATTAAGGGTTAAGGGTATAAATACAGCGCACCGCATTGGGACGGCCTCCCCTCTCCGGCAGAAACAGGAAATGCCGCAACTGTATGTAACAACGGTTTCAAATCAGCATCTCTTGACCAAACATTTAAAGTGGACCTATCATTCTATATTTTAATAATATAGTGTAGGACCATACCTATATAAGGCATATTTATACTTTTTTCAAAATACCAAACAGATCATGCATTTTAGCCATGCCTCATTTCGCTCAATTTGCACTTTTGTAGCTCTGTTTTTGCAAGGGCTGATTCTGTGAGAACAGCACTACCTACAGGCCTGGCATATGTACTACAGCGTCTCCAGCGCTTTCGAACGGCAATGGCCGTGGCCAGGGGTTAAATTGGGCCGGGGCTGTCCGGGGCTCAGCCCCGGCACATAGGACGATGCTCTGACGTCATCACCCTCGCTCATTTGTCATTTGTTTAAGCCATATGTTAAAACATCTCTCGTTCTTAATATAGACTTTATTTAGGGTCGATATGTGTTGACTTTACTTTAAAATAGCAGATCTCTGTGAGGATATAGTTTTTCCGCTTAGTGAACGTGTGTCTCTGCTCCGATCAGGAGCTGCAGCACCGCGGCTCCTTCGTGCAGAGAGTCTGCAGCGGTGTGTGCGTGTGTGTGTGCAGAGAGTCTGCAGCGAGTCTGCAGCGGTACCGCCAAACCCCCGACCCGTCTTGTAACACGGAGCCCGTTTCCTACACCATCAGGGCCGGTTATAACCAATTTGCTGCCCTAGGCGAGATTTTAGCTGGTGCACTTTAAGCACACATTACTAGAGACTAGATCTAGGGGGTACAACTCTAAACACCCATATGAAAAAGATCAGTTTACATTTTAATAACCAAATATGTGAACATAACCAATAACCTACCATAGCCAATAACAAATAAATGTAACTTATTTTATTTTTGTTGTTCATTCATATCTTATTTTACCTAGTTAACATTTATTTATGCATATTTTTATATCTCTCAAGTTTTAAACGATATTTCTGGTTTACTGTCCTATAGTATACATTGAAATGATTTCAAACCTGTTTATCCAAATAATTATAAAGGAGTGCCTTGGAAATATTTGTTTACATAAATTGCATTTATCTCTCTCGCTCGCTCCCACGCCCACTTTGGCTGTGAGCTGCGGATGCCTGATAAGCCAACACCCCCCACTTTCATCACTTTCAGCGCCCATCGTACAGGGCAAATGAAAAGTGTAACCGGGGTGAAAAGGGTGTTACATTTACTTAATTATGAATGTTGTTACATCAAGGCCGAAAATTAGGATGAGCGCAAACGGTCAAAAATGTTTTTTTCCCTCCCAGAGCTGCCAGCGCAGCGCCCCCCAGATCTGGCGCCCTAGGCAACCGCTTATGCCAAAAACCGGCCCTGTAGACCATGCTAAATGTATGTCTACATAAAGCTGAGTTATGATCAGTCATAATAACACAGAATTTGGTGATGATTAAATAGCTTACAGTGAGATTTACTCCCATACTTTTGGCCATACTCACGCAGCCCTACAAATGAATTGAGATTTCCACACAAATGTTCTTTAGCAAGTGTGCAGAGCAGTGTTGATTTAAAAAAGCAGTTTGAAGGTTGGATATTTGTAAACCTTTTTTTGTGTATATATATTAATAATTTAAGATGTAAATTAATTCCAGTTTATTTGTAGTACTTTCTATTTGTATTGTGACATTTGGTGGCATCAATGTGTGCATTTGATACAGATAATGGAGCAGTTGCTTTAGGGCCACAGTGTATATCCCTTAAGGTCAAATAATGAGATCCTCGACCTCCGCCCCCCTCTCGCACCTCCACACAGAGCCCCCCCCACATATCAAATCCCAACTTAACCCCTGGCCGTGGCTGTCTCCTCCTGATTGGTGGAGTTGGCCCAATAGCCGTAGCGCCACCGTCCTGACGTCAGGACAGTGTTCAAATCTGGATCAGTTTTTATCAGATCCGTTGCAGCCCCTTTTTTTGAGATTTGGGTATGGAGGAAAATAGAGAGGGTTGTGTTTTCTGACACTTGGTGAGTTCCCTGGAACACCGGGGACACATATTCATGTATAAAAGACGTACAAAAGTGCATTTTGCGTGATAGGTCCCCTTTAAATTAAGAACTCAAATAAAACTCCAAACATCTTTAATTGTGTTACTTTTTCTGTAAAGCTCTATTAGTTTTAAACCTGATTTGTATAGGCTTCTTAGTTTTTGCAACAATCTGTAAATATACACAACTTTATAATAAAATGCACACATTTACCTTTTTCTAGACTAAACACAGGTACGATCCTAAGTTAAAAAAATATGAGGTTATCATGAGGTTGTTTATCCAACACACTCTCACTCGCTAGCGGCCCGTCCACACAGCAGCGTTAAAAGATCTTGGAACGCTTCTGCCCATTCACTTTGAATGGGATGACGTCACTTTGCCTCACTTTTCGCCGAACTGCATTGTGGGAAGCAGAGCGGAGATTTTCAGGATTTTCAGGATTCAAAGTTGAGCAATGTTCAACTTTTGAAGCTGAGGTGGAAGCGTCAGCCAATCAAATCCCGTATATGCAAATCTGACAGTTCAAGCGCTAGCCAATCAAACTGCGTGTATGCTGGGAGAGACAGACCGCAGGTCATTTCCTCATATTCCAAAAAATGGAGGAGAAATGAGCGGTAGGGAATCACCCGGTGCTTTATGACCAGTCCCTATTTACCTACCGGGATACAAACCGGAGGAGCCAGGCATGGAGGGAGGTGGCAGAGACAGTGGTATGTTTTCGCCTGTTTGGGGAGTTTATATCCAGTTTACTTCGGGCTTTTTTGCTTCGTATGTCGGGGGCGGGAGATTCATGTGATTGGTTGTTGGTGCCTTGCTCGCAAAAAATCCTCAAGCTTCAGATACGCCCACCTCCAAGATTTTTTTAACGCTGCTGTGTGGACGGTCCGTAAGCGTCCAGGAGCGACGCTTGGTCAGGGTCCCGTGGCGTCCAGTTGCAATAGTATGAAGCTGCAGCGTCGGAGGCGGCACTCTCAGGACCGCACTCGCAGGACCCCACTCACAGGACCCTAGTGGTTTTGCAACATCGCCACCTAGCGGATTGGATGACCGCAAAAGTAGACATTGTAATGCTTGTTATTAACCATCTAAAAATGCATGAAAATCGCAAAAGTAGACATTTACATGCATGAAAATATGTTTTTATTATTATTATTATATTTATTATTGTTTATTTTTTACAACAACAATTTGTTGTTAATATCAAATGTATTTTGTATGTCAGATGTAAAAAGATAGTCTTTTATATTTGTCTTATCAAATTTGACATACAACGTAAATATATATATATATTGTAGTAATAATGATATCATCTATTTATAATTGTAAATGTATATTGTATGTAGACATACATTTATTATATATATTTTTTTATTGTATTACACGTTCAAAATAAATCAAATCAAATGTGTCTTTGAAGAGGTGCTAGATTACTGAAAAACAACTGTTAGTGTGTTTATGCACCAGGCTGCAAAAGATAAACATGCAATTTGACCGAGAGGCATTTCAGTGCAGAATACATTTATTGGGCACAATTTCCACACTGGATTCTTCAATCTGCTGTTGGTCTGCTGTTGACCACCTTCTCCTGGGAGATATCCATTCTGGCACTCTGAACACTGGCTGAAGGGTTCCCTCGAGCAAGCTTCTGGCCTCCAGAGTCCAGAAGGCAAACCTTTGGCCATGCCTTTGAAACAATAAGAACAAGATGTAATCTAAAGTATTGCATAGGGAAAGGCT